TGCCTCTCTTGAGAATTCAAACCTTCAGGTCCTTATAAGCTCTTAGTGGTTATTGCAGCTCACGAGGATCCTCGAATAGGGCCGATGACACGTGTTACATGAGGGGAAAGAAGCAGGCTGAGATGAGTCGCAACGTCTTACTGCAACTACTGATGCAATTCAGCTGCACAAGGAAGCACAACGATGTTTCCTTTGCTGCATGCTTTATTTCTGTAGGGTTTGTATTTGTTTGCAGGCAGCCGACAAAGGCCAAGCGAATGTTTCTGGCGTAACTTTAGGAGGATCATGCTGCATGCCCCCTTCCGTCCTACAGACAGCAGACGTGCTGCGTGATAGTTTGTTTAGTTTGGCTCTCTGCTTCTAGGTGGCGGTGGTCATATTGTGGTCAATGTTGAGCCATTGTGTGGGTGTGCCACAGAAGGCGCTGACGAATTTCGGATTTGTTTCGGCAACGATGCTCTTTGGAAATCTATGGAGCTTCTAGAATAGCTGTGTCACGGTTTCCGCTGTTACATACTATCCTGGCATCTGACTGATGGTAAGCCCACTATGAAATCCACTGAGATGTCCGTCTACACCATTTTGAGAATCGGAAGGCTTTGTAGGAGTCCGGGTGACGGTGTTCTGGGGCTTTCGTTTTTGTTATTCTGCACTGGTGCAGACATATTCATCAACTGAGAGGCGTCCGCTACGTCACCAAAGGAATCTTGCATCACAATCTACAGTTGTGCTGACCCCCTCCTGGCCTGCTAAAAGCATGACATGCATTCTGCAAAACACTTCCGCGCGAAGCGAAGCCGGAACCTATAAATATCTGCGGAGTCTGTGCGCCGTATAATACCACAAGAGGTCGCCGCCGGTGCTGTAGTGCTTAAGCCGTTCCCCACCGTTGAGCTTAGCTAGAACCGCTGCCGAATGAGCATCTAGGGAATAAGGAGGACGTGATTTGGAAGGAAAAGGAAAATCACCGCAGAAAAGCTCAGGTGCAGTTGCTGAACACTGTGGATGGCCTGTACGGCGACGGGCGAGTGTATCAACGCCCACATTGATGATACCCTTGATATACTTGGCGGTGATGTCCTACTGCATGAGTCTGGAAATGCACCGAACAACTNATTGATGATACCCTTGATATACTTGGCGGTGATGTCCTACTGCATGAGTCTGGAAATGCACCGAACAACTCGTTCATTTTCCTACTCTTCAAAACTGTTCGTAGGATTTGAGAGGGATTGATGCTCAGACTGGACAGTAAAACGCCTGGCATATAGGTAATCTCGAGACGTTTTTACACCCCACCAGACCGCGCAGAGCTTCTTCTCCCCTACCGGATACACATGCTCCCCCTCCGTGAAACGCTGTGAGTAGCAGGCGACGTTTTGCTGCATTTTCGAGCGGTTAGACTTAGACGCTCGCTCAGCGGTTAGCCCGCTGAGCGAGCGTCACCCCTACTGCTTTCCCGGTGGCATCGGTCGTGAGGAGGAGAGGTTTTTCAAAGTCAGGGAGCGCGAGTACTGGAGACGATGTCAGGTGTCCGATTACGCGTCAGGCGGCTGCATCCTGATTTTCCGTCCAAACGAACTGCTTGCCTTTCTTAATATTAGCAGTTAGACAGGCAGCAATTCGGGCGAATCCAGGAATGAAATTGCGGTAGTATGAGTGGAGGCCAAGGACTCATGAACATCCGTGCGAGTTTGAAGCGGTAGCGGCCACCTCCAAATCGTCCTGATTTTGGTTGAACCTGGTTCAACCCCTGCTTCAGGGACATGGAACCGTAAGAAAATGAGTGTTTGCTTAAAAAGCGAACACTTCTGCGTTTTCACGAACCACTGCCTCTCTAGTTGTAGGGCACGCCAGAGGAGTTGTAACTGCTTCTGCACATAGCGGCTGAACTGAGGCACATTGCCCAGGCGATTCCGCAGGGACTGGTTCCAATAAATCGTGATCGACACGCGGCTGCAGTTCGGCAGGTATATTTGTTACTAAGTACAGGATACAGGTGTATTCGAGCTCACTGGTGCGGGTTCGAAACGCAGTCTTGTGCCTGCCCTCTGGATGAACTGGGATTAGGAAAAATGCCTTCGCAAAGTCAAATGCTGAGGATATCCATGGACCTGTAAACAGTCAAGAATTTCGTCTATCCGGGGAATCGGAAACTTCCGCTTCACTGTGATTTTGTTCAGGAGTTTGAAATTGACTTGCATGCGGCAGCTTCGCCAACACCGGGTTGTCTCCAAGCGCGCTGCTTGACGGCTGAACCTTGCTTTTTCTTAGGTGCTCATCTGCCTGCCGCTCAACTTCTTCTTCAAGATATCGGGGAAGCCCGGGACTTGTAACGAAGCTTGGGGCTGCGCCGTATATGAGTTCGGCGCGGAGCTTTGAACGTCCAGGGGGTGGACGGGCCGCCGCTAGCGCTTTGTTATCAAGACATCTGAGAACACTTCTTTCCATGTTACCCGTTTCTGTTGCTCCTCGGGTGTTAACTGGATCGAATCCCCTAAAACTGCGGTCTTCACAAGAACATCACGACGGGGGGAAAGCATATCTGTCTCGTTCGTTGCATCGCTTCTGCACAGCATGCGAGTTTCACCACTCTATTCTTCCTTGGGACACAGTTTCTACTCCTCTGAGCATAGAGGCTGCAAATGCTCTTGGAAACGCTGAGAGGTGCACGCTC